CTAAATGACATCTTAACAGACCCCAAAAAATACAAAAAATATCAACAGGATCTGGCCAAATATGCTTGGGAACAAGCAGAAATATTTGGATATGGGGGGGACATTGGGGCAATTTTTATCGACACTCTGTTAAGGACATATTTTTCAACAAGGATGTAGCATCCTAGATAAGGCCCGAGATAAGCTTACAAAAAGTGGTGTAGCAGGATCTCCGTATCACGTGGATTTCAAAACCAGATTCAAATTGTTAAAAGAACCTGATTTATGGAAAACTCCCGCCAAAAAAGAAGAAGCCGACATGAAAAAGCTTGTGGATGCATTACATAGATCCTATGACGCTGTTAAAAACTTGGGCCTCAAAGGTTCTTACACTAGTTTTACAAAAACGATTGGAGCTGTTCCTAAACCCTCTTTTACATTCCCAGGATTTGGAAGTGGAATAGACATTCGCAGGCAAATTGGCAAATTACCAAAACCAAAGGCCTGACGGACATTACCAGGGCATGAATACAGGTCCGTCTAATGATTTAGAAAACCAAGTACGACATGACCCAGAAACGGGCGAAATGTTAGAAATATATGATCCACCAACTGGAAGAACAGATGCTATAGCCATGCAGCATGACGTTGATTATTCCGTCTGTGGTGATAACCAGAAGTGCAAACCTAAGGCTGACCGAAAAATGGTAAAATCACTTGATGCCATTCCATAGATAGACAATGGGGCCATTGGCAGGCTAGAAATGTAATCAACTCAAAGCAGAAACTCGGGCTTGGTTTAAACTGAAAAAGCCATCGAGTGAAGAAAACTGGCAAAAGCAATTAGCAGATGAATTACATAAGCGGATAAAGCTCAACTTTACTCGGCGGAGTGTCATTGTAAACGGTATCGATAAGATTTGGTGCTCCGTTCTGGTTGAAATGCAACAATTCAACAAATGGAACAAAGGTTACAGATATTTTCTCATGGTATTAGACCTTTTCTCCAGATATGGTTGGATTGTCCCGTTGAAGGATAAAAAAGGAGAAACTGTCACAAAAGCATTCAAAACCATCTTCGAAGAAGGCCGTAAACCACAATATCTATGAACTGATAAAGGGAAAGAATATTATAACAAATACCTTAAGGAACTGTTGAAAAAAGATAACATAACACTATACTCAACCGAGAATGAGGAGAAATCTAGTGTTTGCGAAAGACGGAACCGTACAATCAAAACCAAGATGTGGAGACAATTCACTGTCCAGGGTAGTACAGTATATTTAGACATACTACCAAAAATACTGAAGCAGTATAATAACACTAAGCACAGTGCCATTAAAATGGCACCTGCAGAAGCCAGTAAAAAGAAGAATCAAAATGCCGTGTATTTCAATCTATATGGCAATATGGAGCAATTGTCATCTAAGCCCAAATTCAAGGTTGGTGATAAAGTTAGGATAAGTAATTACAAAAGAAAGGTGTTTGACAAAGGCTACACACCTAATTGGACTGAAGAGATATTCGTGGTCGATAAAATTTATCCACAAATCCAATCACCTACAGATTAAAGGATCTCAACAACGAGGAACTACAAGAGAGCTTTTATGAACCGGAATTACTAAAGGCAACCCAAGATATATTCCGCATTGATAAAGTCATTCAGGGAAAATATAAGAAGAAACAAGCTCTTGTGAACTGGTTGGGTTATAGCGACGACTTCAATTCCTGGATTCCACTGAGCAGTTTACAAGATTTATCTAAATAATAGTATAAATGGACGATCATATAAGAAAGTTAAATACCAGAATCCGTAATAAGGAAACTGAACTCAATAAACTATTCACTAAAATCCAAAAATTGGAAGAGATTGCCACATTACGTCATAAAAAATTGATCTCCAAAAAGCTGGAAACAGCAGAGATGACATTAACAGGCGTCCTAGGAGTGATCTTTGAAGTTGGCGAGGAGGAGGAAAAAGAGTAATATCTGGCTGTTGGAACCAAACATATTTGAAGAGATATTAATATATACCATTATAATGAGAATGATGTTGGAAAAAATATATGTCAGTGATGAATTAAAAAATTGAGCTAGCTTTTTATATAGATGCCAGGCAAAGTATTTAGTTCCGAGGTAAAGACATTGCCCAGATCCTTGGTTATGTCAATACCGATAAAGCTATCCGACAACATGTGGATGAAAAATACAAGAAAAGCAACCCGACCAAATGGGCGGTCAGGTCAGACACCAATTTTTTATATCAGAACCTGGTGTTTACTCCCTTGTATTTGCTTCAAAATTAGAAGCCGCTAAAAAATTCCAGGATTGGGTCTTCGCACAAGTACTCCCATCAATTAGGAAATATGGACAAAACAAATTATTCGACAATCCTAATAACCTGATGTTTAAGATTGAAAATGAGACCGATCTACACAGTAAAGTAGTTGAATATATCCGCAGGTTGTATCCTGAGGCTATTGTAGGCGGGCTTGGCGAATTACAGAACACTTGTTCCAAAAGAATTAACTACTAGAAAAAAGTGTTACATGAAAGGTCAGCCTGACATTATGATCATGAATTATCATAAGATTATTCCAGATTTTGTGTTGAATTTAAAAGCCCAACTAATAATTACCAAATTTCTGAGGCCCAAGAGGAGATGAAAAAGAAATACAAAGCTAAGAACTATTACTTTATGATCAGCAATGATTATGATCTTATAGCCAAATATTTCAACACATACATGGAAGGTATTACAGTCCCTTGTAAATACTGTGAAAAAGCGTTACTCTCAAATGACACTTATAAAACGCATTTGAAAATAATCCACAGGATAGAAAACTAAGATAACTGATTGTATGTGAGACCTGCGGGCTTTTCTTCTGTGATGAATGCCTGGGTAAAATTATTAGCCTTGAGCGTATTGCCTAATTTTTGGGCTAACCAGTCTTTTGAACAGGTCGCTAAAGCGACACCGTCCAACGACGTGTTAGCACCGCACTTTTGTAATATTATCTGGGTTCTATTGTGAACCCGAATATATAAAACTTATTTTAGCTCTTTATCAAGTTCTTTCAAAATATCCTCAAGTGCGAGCAAATCATTTTTATAATTTATTAGATCCCGCATTATACTGTTATTCACTCTATACAATAACTCTGAAATTAGTTTTACCATTTTCTCCGCTTTTTGGGTATATATGTATTATATTAAATGCCAATTTTAGTATTTTCCCCAAAGTGGTCACTGTATGGATGAAGCAAATGTCCTCATGAATGCTGGGGTCTTTTTGGGAGAAACGAGCGAAGCGAGCTTAGCGATAGGGGTATGTGAGAAACCGTCGGGACAGCCACCGCAGTCAAAGATTGGGCAAATCATATGTCCGTGAATAGTGCTCCTGTAAGCACATTTTCCGTCTTTGAAAACAGATAACTCTGTTTCTATAAAACGACCCATGATTTGCGCGATCTTAGTAATGACGTAGGCGTATGCGCTATGGCGTGCACTATGACAAATCATTTCCACACTCATTGCTTTGGCCCGCGCAGCAGGCACTAGAAAAAAAAGAGAAAAGATGGAAAACCAATCGGTAATTCGTGTTTACAAGCGCAAGACATGTCCCTTCCCTTTTCAAGTCGAGCGCCTAGCATACAGGTTTACCTCGGCAGGTTAAGCACAACTGACCGGGTGCGCTGGTCTACAGAGTATATGGATCATAAAAATACAGTAACTACTGAGGAAGAAAAATTCTTCCTTTGCTCTGCGTAAGGCTAGATCGACCTTCGAAGGGCTCCATGGCTACATGGAAATGGTCGTTCCTTCAATAGTAGGGGACGTTAAAACAGTGTCACCAATTATTGCTCTCTCCTAACTACAGTGGAAGTTGAATAATACACGTTTTAGAGGCGTATTAGAGACGGAATACATTAAACACTTAACAGATCACAAAAGTGGCCAAGCCTCACCAAACATTGTTTCGTTGAAAGTTCCTGAGAAACGTCTGCAGGATGAATTGTCACCGTCACACACTCCACATTTATCAGTTTTCTTCATTGAGTTTAGCACTCTGTCACATCCCGCAGGCTGAATATTGAAAAAATGAATAGATATAAAATTACATCCATAACAAGAACCTAGAACGAAGGTGACAGCAAAACCGTCTTGTATGGTGCACCATAACGTTTTAAAATGGGCTCAGTTTTTCGGTTGATACAATTTTAGCTCTTTCCAGCTGATCACAGAATTAAGTACATCAGAATATCTTTGAACTATAGTAAAGCATACACAATCACTCAAAAATACAAAAGAGGTATACGTAATGGGGGCGGTGATCAGCCAAACTGGAGAAGATTTAAACGTTACGAATTGGCCGACATTTTTCAGCCACGGCTCATTTTATTGTAAGTCAATCTTTCCAGAGTCACATTTGACTGTCACGTGGCCGTGTTTTACAACAAGAAAGTATGAAAATCCACACCTACCATACATTTTCCATCTACGCAAATGTCCGTGGTCTCGGGGCTACACGGTGTTCCGTCAATTACTTTGTCTTTTAACTTGAAATAGATGGCAGTTCCAGAAATGCGACAATAAAGTTTACACTTGTTTTGCTTGGTAACTGTACAGAGACAAGAAATGGTAGTTCAATTCGCTAGCTTCACGAAAAAAAATAAGGTAAAAAATAACGCTCAGTTATTGGTAATTTTGTTAAGACTATGACATCACTATAGTAACTGTAAAAATTGTCGGAAAAAAACTTATTCATTTTTTGAAGTTTCTGTAACTTAATAACGAGTTTGGTGACCTACAATTTATACCTCGGATTGAGTCAAACATCAGATTCTCGGATATGAGTTCCTGTTTTTGGTAATTTTATAATACGTTTTCGGTAAGAGGCTCTGACCGATCTTAGTTTTAATTCATTTTTCGGTCGGCTGTTTAACCGAGTTTTCAAATTAACTTTCCGATCTTCATGTCTGTGAACCATCTGTTTCGTGCTTGACGGTGTCTTTTTCTTCTTTCTTACATTTTTGCTGGAAACTGTGAGTGATAATTTTGGCAAACCCACAGATTCGAACCTTTTGGCATTGACGAGCGTCTGCAGGCCAGTCACATCCCAAAAACAATCCATTTTACAGTCGCTATGTGAATTGCTTCTATAGCTGAAAGAGTTGTTTTCTAAATTTTAAATCATGACGCGTAGCCTACTGTCTTTAAGCTAGACAAAACACAAGCTATGCGTTGAATAAACTGATTCCCAAAAAGATGTTTTTAGAAATCCTTGCAGGGTGTACGATGATTTTATTCGGAGAAAATCCGAGATAAAAACTCAGTCACCTTTCATCAGATTTCACTTCACTCCCCAATTATTTTAAGTTACCTTTATATTATCTTAATGATTGTGTTTTTTAGGATTGATTTAGTTATCAAGCTCTTACTTCCTGCGTACTTAGGAAGCCAGTTCGTGTTCCTGTACCTCTTGGAACCTAAACTCACGTTCCGTGCATGTATATTTGCACACTGTATGGCACGGAAGTCCACAGAACCTTTGGGGCATTCCTGTCAAAGTTACGAATACAAAACAATCAGTAAAGACATGACTGTAAACCAGCTTCTTAACGGGGTGGGCCGTAAGCCAAACGGCCACACATTTTAGTCGAATGATAGAAATGTGATGGTGAATTTTAAGCCTGGTGAATACATGAGAAAGATGTTTATTTAGTCAGTGACACAGGTAGCCTGCGAGCCAGCTCGCGGGCGCTCTGGCGGCGGGGCGGGAAAAGAAAGGAGAGCTTGCAACTACGTCTCTGGAATTTCAATTCCGCCTCCAATTCCCCTGTGGCTTTCCGCGCCGTCGACTGAGCTGTCAGATTTCCGCCAATCAGCGCGAAGCGGAAACAAGCGCGAATGTAAACAAACATTGAAAAACACGTGAAAGCACGCGCCAAGGGTAACGTCATTACTGTCATCTCCACCAATCAGCCAACAATTTCGCATCGACCACCAGAGCGCCCCGGACAGCTTGCTTGTAGGCTATGACACAGGCGGAAGGGAAGAAAGAATGCGACAACTCCAAACAGGAGTCGAACCTATGACCTCCTGGACAGTAGGCCAGATGCTCTACCATCAAGCTACAGGAGACTTAGTGACGGATCCAAGGGAGGGGCCCAGGAGGGGGCTGGCCCTTCTTTATTTTTGGACCAAACTGAGGCCCGAAGGTCCGAAAAATTTTTTTTCGGAGACCGCCTCCCCCCTCTTATCTAAGGGTCTGGAAGACCGCCCCCCCGGCTTATCTCAAGGTCTGGATCCGGCACTGAGACTCTTAGGAGCTGAGGAAACTAGAACTAGGTTCATGTGACAAACAGTCCTGCAAAGAAACATTCTTGCTGAGTAAGCATCTTTCACTGGACGAAAAAAAATGGATTTACACAAATTTGCTGCTCCTTGCATATATGTCGCAGATTTGTAAATACTGAGGAGTAAATATATGGCAAAGATGGTAAATGAAACATTTGCAGACCAAAAAACAGGTGGTGAAAATAACTAGGCAATTTTGGCATTTATATTCAACATGTTTGCCATATATTTAATCCGCACTATTTATATAGTTGCGATATATTTCAAGGAGCAAATTTGTGCAAATAATTTTTTTCGTCCCGTGTTTCTCGTATCTTCTGAATTTTGAAGTCGTTATTTAAATTAATTGAGCGCTCATTTTAATTCCTGACCAGGTCAATTCATCTTGGCCTGTTGTCTTCAAAACTACATTTAAATACTTACTTGGGTGTTGCAGGACCTGAACCGTTTCCTTTTACCAATGCAATATTTCCCACCATTTTCAGGCCTGTGAATTCAAAGGATTAAGAGTAAACTCTCGCTGGGACCAGTTACAGAAGAGTCCACAAAATAGAGAATTAAAGTAAATTACCCTTACTGAGTGTCCCTATAAGAGAGTTTTAAGGAGAGATCTTAAAAAAGGGCAAAGAGAAATTTAATTAACATCGCGGCGTTTAATCGAATTAATACGGTCCTTGTCACACTAGCTGTTGAGTCTGTGGATGAAATCCTATGGTGTGGCTATTTAAATGAAACCTCTTCAGCAGTACTTTGACATGGTACTATGTATGTAGTACGTAGTTCTAAGTTTTGAATCTGCGGATGAAATCCTATGGTGTTACCATTCAAATTAAACCTCTTTGGCGTTACTTTCACATGGTACTATTTAATACTTAGTTTATAGTCCTAATTTTTGAGAGTGTGAATGAAATCCTATGGTATTACAATTTTCCATTCAAACGAAACCTCTTTGGCAAAACTGTTGCATAGTGCTATTTATTTTTATACTTTAACAAAACTAAATTAACAATTTTGTGAAAGTTTTCTTTGGTGGTTACTTGAAATTAAAGCGTTGAGGGACAGGGCGATCTTCAATCGACAATAAACCTAACATTAAACTTACAATGGTTTGTTGCATTCCCTGTATGAAAAAGCTATTCCTCCGCCACAACTCCTTGTACATTCTTGATAGGGACCCCACACATCCCAGTTACCGTCCACAGGTTTCGGCCTTTGCTTCTTCACACATTGACCTCGAATGCACCACTAGAAAATGAAAAAACTTATAAACAAAATGGAAGAAGTGTTTTGTGATCATTTTTACAGGCTGAGTTTAACTGGGCATCGTTAGCTAGTAGTGAAGGAATCACTACAAAACATAAACCTGAAGCAGATCCTTCAATGAGTAACATCTCTGGACGTTTTAAAAGGACTTGTACCTAAGGAACGTTGTTTATTGCACAGGGAGTCAGCAACAATTATGATACTAGGAGTAGTGAATTTAATGATGATGGTGATGATGATGATGATGATGATGATGATGATGATGATGATGAGCAAGATACTCGAAGCCAGCTCTATAAGCCCGTTGGTTCAGTACGCAAAAGAGAATCCCCTTGAAATCATTTAACTAAACATCACTGTCCTTTGCCTAGAATTCAAGTAAAATCTCCAATTCCATTTGTAGAATACTGAACTTCAAATACTAACATGGTTGCAAAGGTTTCATTTGAATGCAAAGGTCATATGCATTGAGACTTGTGTCTCTGGACGAAATTCTACTCAGGAACGAGACTATTTGAGGCTTTTTTTACCGCACATATCACGTTGGCAACTGTTACGCAATTGTTAGCAAATAGAAACTTAAAAAGGTAATTAGCACGCAGTCCACTTTAATAGGCCCTTTGCAGCTAGCCATTCACGTGGTACAAAACCGCCATGTTAGAGAGCAAAAGTCGCACTGGCACAAGACCAACAAAAGGCATACATAATTTTAAATGGTAATTTCCTATGTTTGTCTTATCCCAGTGAGACTGTTGCTCTCCAGCATGGCGGTTTTGTACCACGTGAATGGCTAGCTGCAAAGGGCCTATTGAATACCCCGAACATGGAGAGAAGCCAACAAAGCGAATTTAGTCATATTACGGAAGATACATAAGTAGAGTTTATATCAATGTTTATCTTAAGTTTACGGGGTTAGGAGAATTGTCTTTGCTGCACAAAACTACATTTTGATTTACCGATCCCTTCTGTGGCTTTTACCGAAATTTGTAGGGCGAACCAAATAAGGAATTATCAGAAAATGACACAAATTGTTTACAATTTGTCCTTCTAATTTGATTACGTCACTTTGCTGAGATATTCGTTCCTACAAAAGGGAAGTTTTCCAGGTGTTTACACGTTCTTCTTATCCATTTTAATCCAAAAGGAAAACACTTGTTAGTCATTACTCAATTTGACCTATTCGGGAAGTGAAGCGCTTAAGATTGTAAACAAATTGATCAATTAAATTGCACAAATTGCTTTTTAATTGCTAATCAGAGGCCGTGGTCTTCGTGGTATAGAAAAAGAGGATAATAAAAGAAAGAAATACAAAAACATATCATGGCCTTCAAGGTGTCAATTAAAATATCACACGTAACATTTAGAAACAATTTAAGTATTCCCTCATTGCTCGGACAAAAAGCTATTTTTATGTTTTAATTACTTAAACTGGAAAATTTCGCTCGCGTGATTGTTATTGAGGGGGTCAAGTAGTCAAGTACGCAATATGCATTCTAAAAGAAAAGACAGGAAATTATATGTTCTGCTATGTTAAAGATCAACAAACTGATGGAACGTTGGAAAGAGTCATTCAACAACGATGTTTCGGAACTTTAATCTTGTTAAAATGGCCGCGTAAAACTCGAAAAACACCATAATGGGAAGTTGTTCAGATTTTCATAAATGTTTGGTGATGACAGGCTCACAGGCGATCGTTCACTATTGAATCTTCACCGTTTCACTGCCAAGTAAAAATTCAACAAAAGTTCTAAATTTCATTTTGAAAAATTCTGCAAATCAAATAGTCCCTTGTGAAAATACTACCAATTGAAAGGGGTTTCATTTGAATGGTTACACCAATTTTTGATCAACAGACTGCAAGTCCGAGCCACCTTGCAGGAGCGCATCATCTACTCTGAGAGTGAAAGCGTTAACAAGGACTCATAGAGAGGGAATGTAGTAGACGAAAAGCTAAAGTAATTGCAGAACATAGCAAGACATCTAAAGAAGCTTCTCCGACAATCTTCCGCTTGATCTTGCGTTAATGGTATTCTTTCAAGCACCCGACAATGCCATTTTGCCTGTTTATTAGATCTTCTCAATGGGCAAAGGGGTAGAATAGGAACCGAAATAATAATGAAAATCTTCCTGAAACTTTTGATTAGTAAATTCCAGTATGTTGATAAGTGCAATTTAAAGAAACGGTCACCCCTGCAACGGTAGCAAGAGAACCTTTGTAAGAAATATTTGGAAACACTAGAGGAATCAAGAACCCGGAGATGACAGATCGAAAACAGTAGCAACTCAGTAATTTCTGTCGGAAAACAACTTAGCGAAGTACTTAACGGAACAGATAGTGGTTTTTAAGAGTGTTTAAACAGGATCGTTAGTCCAGAAAGACTTTTTGAAGAAGTTCAAGCGGTTTATTAGTGTAACACCGACGTGTAAAATGGTTCGTGATCTGGAAGTATGGAATGAAAACCTTGACATGATCCATGCATAAGCTATTTTTTTACGTTTTCAACTGAGCATCACCCCGTATCCAGGGTCAATTAAAAAGACACGTTTCCGGCTAACTCTTGCCTTTGATACATGGATTGATGCATGGATATGTTTCATTTTTAATTAATGAAACTTCTTGAGTAATACTTTTTCACGGTGCAAATCATTTTCCATATTACGCAAAATGTACAAGCAATTGACGTCTATCTTGAAATTGCCTTTAGGAAGTTCCATTGGAAATGAAAAGGCTAATAACTCCTACTTGGGAAGCATGGTACGCTCTGTTTTATACTGAGCCCTTAAAACTTTGGGGACCTTCGAATTACTACTGTTTAAAATGCGAAGTTCTTGAGGTTTGCAAGTGCACGGGATAAATCGTACTTGCGACTTGTTGCAACTTTGCCGTTCATACAAGTATGAAAAGTAGGGCTTCAGCAAACTTAACCTCGTTGGTGCGTTCCCTTTGCGTTCCGCGTGCGTTCCCTTAATTAATAGGCATAAGGGTCGAGTCTATGACGTCACCCATTGTTTTATCCTAGAGAAAAAAAATGCGTTCCTCCATATTAATTAATATATCCGAGTTTTAGAGCTAAATAAGAAGACATAAACTAAACTGAAATAAAGACTTTTCAACTCCACTTTGTGTTGATATATATCTGAGTTTTAGCTATAAATAAGATATAGGAAGCCGTTTCTCGCGTTGCTAGGTGATCGCTTCTCTTATTCCTATTTTCCTTTTAATAGACGGTCCGAAAACCGGGCTCAAGTTACTTAACCGGCAAGTCTAGGCAAGCCTATTGTTTCTATTGAAGTAGAGAGACGCTCATTAGTAAACCTATACCGAATTAGTATACAGGAAGACACTGACTAGGCACTTAATTAATATGGAGGAACGCATTTTTTTTCTCTAGGATAAAACAATGGGTGACGTCATAGACTCGACCCTTATGCCAATTAATTAAGGGAACGCACACGGAACGCAGAGGGAACGCACCAACGAGGTTAAGTTTGCTGAAGCCCTACTACTCATACAAAGAATTTTCTATTCCCTGAATTAGTGACATTCGAATAATTCAAGTGTCTATCGGCTTAAGTTAATCTTTACATTTATCAAGTCAACCGTTTGCCATGTCATGCTGGTGTAGAGGGCATCTCTATTACTAATCTTATTAAAGTTCTCATATTGACATCAATCACTGTTAGCAAAAATCATTTGACTTACTGGAAGAGCCATGCTCAAACGTTTACGTTAGTATTTTATACACAGCAATGCAATGAAAACGTTTCTTTTAAAACGACCATATCCACGGACTTGAAAAATTAGAACCTACTTGTACAGCAAAATGACTATACCAAAGGATCGTGCAGGCCCTTTGAATGGTAACCTACGATCAGTCGTTCTTCTTCTTTATTGTTTTCTGAGGTAGGGCGAAAGTCGGCGAACGGGCCAATGGAAGAGGGGAAGAAGGATCACATGATCACAAACTATTAATAGAATTCCACCAACAGGGAAAAATTAAGAATATGACACATATGGATCAAGGTAATGCATTATGTTTGTGTGGCAACTGGAACAAATGCCACCGTGCACGGGTGCCTTGAGGAAGTGAGTAAACTTAAGAGTAATTTATTCTTACACTCTTCTTCGCACAAGGGGTTCCGTCTGCCCAAGGCATATGGTGGGTGGAGCATCCCCTTCGGTTGTTGATCATTTTTACGCACCAAAGTCGCTGACAAGGTTCCTTCAAGGCAAAAAATAAAAATCAACTTGAACTGAGAATAACTACTCTCAATTAAAGTATGTAGATGATATAGACCAAAGCCTCTTTTTATACTTTTAGTTTTTATTTTTGAAGTGCTTTTCAGTTACCCACAGATATGTTTGCATTCCTGAGATTTTCTTGAGTGACAGGACACCAACCATTTTTTAATGTTAAACATAGAGAAATGATTTGCCGTAGGGTCAAAACCAACGGGGGAAGAAAAAAAGAGGAACAAAACAGGACGAATAATCAGTAATCATACCCTAAGAGTAGCCATTAAATCTGCCCTTACACATTACTTAGTTACGTCTACTGAATCAAACAAAAAGACCAGGAGATTGAAGGATCGATGAAAATTAGATTATATAGATTTTTCGACATATTAGTCACATTGGCACCAGAAGTATACAGAGTACAGACTGGATGCTACGGGAGAATATAACTAATGGTGGCTTGCGTGAAGTACTAACCATAAAAGGACAAAGCGATGAGTTCTCGCCAAAAACCATTTTGCACTGTTGGTCCACACTGTAGAGTTCACCAGGAAGTCTATCGCGATATTTCAGTTCTGCTTTTTCGAGTGGTTTGTCCTCAAGGCACGAACCATAACCTAACCTTAGCAAACGGCAAAAATATGCCACAATTAAAATGACTCAATTGTTTTAAAAAAATGAAAATATGAAGAATTAGATTAACCATTAGTGGACTAAATTATCAAGGGTTCTTAGGGTCATGGAAAATGCGTGCCTGTTGTTTGCTGTTAATAGGGACTTTAGGATCCAACGACGCGGACGGCAACGAGAAGGTCATAAAAACAATAGGCAATAAGCAAAACAACAACTTTGCACGTGCATCACGTACACTTTTTTTGTACATTTCTTTCCCGTTTTTGCACGACTACCACGTGAAAATGCCTAATTTCGTGTTTTATGGAGAACGTAAACAAGCAACGACGAAATTTTATTTCTGTTTCTGAGCTTAAATATGGTCCCTTGAAATTCAGCTTTAGGAGGGTTCGCCTACAATTGACAAAGTAAGTGGGTAGGATCGAATAAACGCTATAAAGACTGGAAGAACGCAAATTCACTTTTTAAGCGACATTCTTGTTGCCGTCGCGTCGTTGGACCTTAAAGTCCCTAATGTTAAGGAGAACAGAAGTTTTTTTTATAACAACACATGCATAACTGAGGAAGATTCAATTCTTGACACAAAAAATGCTAAATACATTTATATAAATATCGTAGTCTAAGGTTCTCTTTAACTTACTCCAAGAACTCGGTGATTTTATCTCGACTGCAGTTGGACCAAGACCAAGGCTTTGTATCGAAACTAACTGACGGAGCCATGAGGCGCTGGTCTCCTCTACTCCGAGTGCACGGGTTGTTATCACCATCATGGGGGAGGCTAAAACTGCGGGGAAATAAGATATTCTGCTTTTTAAACTCGGAAACAAACAAAAAGACCGACAGAATAGCCCCAGAAAACAGCCGACATTTCGCGACGCCACCAAATGTCGGCTGTTTTCTGCGGCTACCAACAGAACTTTAACGTAAAAAGAGAAAATGTCTAGGAACCTCCTATTTAGAAACCATCTAGAACGCCGTTTATGGCAAACGTCAGATTCAAGTTGACCTATTTCAAATAAGCATTTGAAAAAGGAGAAAGTCCAAAGAAATTGTTAAGGATGAAACTAGCATAAAACGTCTTCTTTTTTTTTCCTGTAGATATAACAAATATTAAACGACAACTAAAGCAGAATCTCGGTCACTTGGCAAAAATTGACATTCGGCGTTTGTTATGAGTGAAGTGATTGCAAATCTCTCGAACATCTTGGATTTGACATGATCACGGTTTGGGCTTGTCATTTATTACGGAAAAAATGCTCGGAGATTTTCAAAGCAGACAATGTGATAGCCAGCAACACATTCCACTTCATACGGTATCTGTACTTACACATGTTCTAGATACTTCATATAAGGTACTTACACGTGCCCCAACTCGTGTGCAATAGTGTACGCTGTCCCCAGTCCGCTGCCTTCTGCTAAAGTACAGCTTCGCCCTGGGGAACACATTGTTCCTAACTCAGCAAGACCTGAAAAATAATAAAACAAAAGAACAGTGTCCTGAAGTTAGAAAACAGTCATGGCCTTGACAAGGGGGTTGTGGAAGTCTAGTAAATCAGGCCCAGTTTAAGACAATTGTTCGACCCACCGCACGATATCTTTCTTTAAAGTGGGTGATACTAAATAAGCCGAAAATGCTGTTCTAGTCCACACTGGAAGTATTCGTGAAGCTGTTCACAATATAAAAAGATGTTTACCTAATGTGTCACACTTTCCAGGGCGTCTGCATAAATTTCTCCTGCGAGAAAGAAAAATAACTTTAAGCACAAAAGAACGATTCATCAAATTAAAGATGTCACATATGCCGTTGCGATTCAATTTAGCCCTGGCTAACGTGAACGTACGCTTGGTTATTCTTGATAGATATAATCAGTTTATTACTCATTCAAATAATTTCCTAGTTTATAAGATTCATGTTTCTCGCATTAGCGTTTGCCTGTTACTTGGCAGTTCCAGGGTGTGAAATATTTTTTTTTCTTGAAGACATTCTTCAAATCTGTTGACATCTTTCGTGTGTATGCATTGCCAAAAAAGAGGCGTTATCGAGTACAACTGAGGGTTTAACTTGCAGGTTTACCGGAACAAAGATTTTGTAACTCGAACCCTAACCCTATTTCCAAGACCTCCGGTCGTGTTCCCGCCTGTAAATGAAAACCAAGCGTACCTACAATATTTTTAGCCTGTGTGCAGACGCCCCTTCCCTTCCTAGATTTTGTTTGAAGGTAGGGGTAGGGGGAGGGGGAGGGGGAGGGGGCGGCTGCACACAGACTAAATAGTTTTAATGACTCCCCCACTGTCATCAATCGTGGAATAATACCAAGCGTCTTCCAAATTTGGTCAGCGCTGGCTTGTTATGGAAAATTAGCCTGGGAACTTAAAGCCAAACAGAAACCGGTAAATATTTGAGTGAATAATAGGTAAATCTCCAAGAGGTTATATTACTGGCACGTTGCATTGCTGACTGGTTAACCTGTACCTCCTTAATATTTTAGTCTTTTGATCTTCCTATAATTTTAATCATTTCGTTCTTTTTATTTGCATTTGATAATGGTGACATGTCGTCGCCGAAACGTCATGTTTTTGTAGCGTTACTTTTTATGCCTTATATGTTTCACAGAATCTTTCGTTATCTCAAAACTCAATAAAGGGCGCTCAACTGGGGTGAATCTCACCTTGTTAGAAGAATCGCGGTATCGTGGTGTTCTGGGTCCTTCTGTGGTTTAGTCATCACCCGATTCTGCCAACGGCAAAAGCTTTTAAGAGTGCGAGTAGTGTCTGAGGAGATATGGAGGCCCCTCTGTAAAAAAATAAATAAATAAATAAATAAAATAAAAACAAGGGAAAGAAGAGGTATAAATCTTAAGAAAGGTTATTCTGAGCTCGCCAAGTCCTTTTGGGACAAGTGTAAAGCCCCCAACAGCATCATCAGTAATAGACTACGAGCAGTCCCCACTTGTCCTCAGGAATAGTCGAGCGAGCGAAACGCGAGCGCGCGTGAAAATCAACCCACGCGAGAATGGCGAGACGCGGCGGTGAGAGAGAAAATTTTTTCACGCTCGCTCGCGTTTCGCTCGTTCTGCTATCCCTGAGGAAAAATGGGGACTACTCGTAGTCTACATCAGTAACAGTAGTTTGTCCTTAAAAATATGAGGGGCTCTGTGTCACGGTTAATATTGTCAACATCGCCATCATGCTTCCTTGTGTGCTATGGGACTTCAGGTTAGCGATGAAATTACTTGTAATAGACGATAAAATTACAGCTTCTTGCCCAACAAATATGCCTTCTAAACATTATTTTAAACGTTACGAAAAAGAAAAAGAAAAACTTAAAAACTGTCAGGCTATATAAAAAACGTTTTTCAAAACCCACAATTGCAATCCGTTTTATACCTTTTTTCTTTAATGTTTTGAGTATTTTTTTTCACGTTTCCTTATTTGGGTGAAAGTTCCTACCGTTAGAATTCTGATACAGCCTTCACAAAACAGTGATAAGTAAAAGCATGAAGGAAAGAATCCGGAAAGAGATTGTTCACCAAATTTTTCTCATATGTACCACAGCAAATGTACGTAAAACAGTCTGGAGAACACGCAAGCTGATAATAAATTTCAACCGGTCATGCTCCCTTACCAAATTCACAATATATACCCTCCAATTTTTAAAAACCAAGGTCCTGTTTTACGCAGAATAGTATCCAGTGATTCTTCCACTTCAATTTCGTTCCTACCTGATTAGACTCCAGTAAGGCAATCTTTACCACGAAAATGTTAATGGAATTACCGATACTTCTGTCTCGATACACCTGAGATACCTTTAAAAAAAGAGGAAAGAGGGAAAATAACTTTTTTTTTCCCGAAACTGACGTCACTTCTTTGACTGTAGGAGCCTAGACAATGGCATAATGGTTTTCTACTTGTTAAATGCTAAGAACCCAGACGGACATGACGGCTTTCGGGTAGACAAAACAAGCGTTTAAACTACTACCCCACCGTGCGACATCTCAAGGACGAGACTATCGTCGTCACGTGAACTCCTCACGAAGCAACACACAGGCCGCAGAGAATTTCTTGGCTCGCAAGTTTGAAATGTACGTGTCGTTAATATGCGATTGCTGGCTGTTGATAGCCATCGTGTGTTACAGCTTGATCAGTGAAGCCGTATGCACGGCGTACCAGCCAGGATTTGATCTGATTCCGAGACGTGATCTTGTTGTTTAAATTAACATAAATCTCCCAGCGGAGATACCAAGACGATTATGATCAATTGAACTTTTCTGAATGATCAAGGGAAAACATGCTTTTTTGGATTTTTTTTCCGCGCTGATGGCAGATAAGTATTTCTTCCCACTAATATGAGAATTTTCCGGGTCACCATTCGGGTAGTAGTTCGAATGAAGGATACTCGGGTTTGCTAAACACAGGGGGTTAAGACGGAATCCATCAGGAAATTGAGTAATTTCAATTTTCAGTGGACAAAAACCTTATACCAGAATAATTTAAACAATATCACATTCTTTTTTACATTTTTTAAGGGCTATAGATGTAATTCGTTATCTGTAATAACACCAAAGAAAATTTCTTATGAGAGGCCGAGAAAATAAACGTCAAATTTTCACAAATGACACCTTACACAGGAAATTTTTGTAGTCTTACGTGTGTTTTTAAAATTCTTGTGAAATTTGACATTTATTTTCTCGGGCTCCCATGAGAAATAGTCTTTGGTGTTTATGTTACAGATAACTTATTATGTCTATAGCCCTTGAAAAATGAACAAAAAGAATGCCATATAATGCCTGTTTTTCCCAACTATGGACAGCATAAAACAAGCACAAGTCCCGAAAACAAGGGTGCTGTGTCAAATGAAAACCAGCGCCGACACAAGACGGCCTTTTCTCATGGAGACAAGAAGGTGACGCAAGCACAATTCCAAACAAAAGAGTCTTGTGCAAAGTAAAAAGAGGGACGCCGACACAAGCCCAAGAAAAGGAACAATTAATCCTCTTCTGTTTGTACTTGTGTTTGTGCTTCATTCTAAGCTGTTTGCAACATAAATTTAAGGACAACTTTGCTTGCATTGCTAGGGAAAACTACAATCCTGTACAAAATGGACGGAAAAATGTAAACCCCGCTGACACCCCTAAAATCAAGGATGGGAAAATAATGGCGCGTTTGAAGGCTACATGCTTAGTTTTTGGGGAGATCAAAGCATGCTGTTCCATTTTATCCTGACCTGTAGGATTTAGAAGTTTTCTAAGAGACCTTACCACACCCATGAGAGTAAGAATGTAAGCTTGCAAGTCAGCCTTGCTTTTAAATGCGTCAACCATCGTCCTGTCAGCTACAACCAATGTTTCTACAAAACTTTCATCGGTCGACCGTCTCTTTCTTGTCCCTTCTCTGCTCCTATTGGCGTGATGGTTGTGCCGACCTCTTAGCAGTGGCAGGGGTTTGTTAGTATCTGTAAACCGCAAGATTAAGAGAGAAAACACCAGTAAGCGATTTGTAAAGGATCGGTTTGTGTTCTGGCGTCGTAAGTATAGAACAGCTCGATAGAGACACTTGTCTAGTGTCGAAGTGAGAATAATTGGCTGCGTGCCTCGTAGCGATATCTAATTAGAGAATAGATAAAAGAAAACGAAAAAGTACCGTTGTCTGGTACTGCTTTAATACTATGGTCGTCATTCCATTTTATCCACAGAACCAAACATTACAACCTCATAACTGTACGCCCAGTGGTGGTGTGCGATCACTAGATTTTGGCGCAAGCATAATAAATAGTACCTCAAAAATCTGCTGAAACTGAATCACTTTTAGCCACTTTTGTTTGAGTAACACCACACTCAAAGTTTGGCTTTCATTGCGTGACTTGTTACGTGACATTCAAACGTCTAGGAACGCGTTCCAGTGCATTCTTTCCCTACTTTCTCTCAAACTTTTTTTCTACGTACGAATGGTCTGAGCCCTGAGTAAGAGCTAAATTTCTCTTTTGTGAAACAGTTGGTTTGGTAAAATGCCTGTGCAAAAGTATGAGGACTTAAGTGATCAAAGCTTTGGTACCAAAAGCTACTACACGAGACTGTTTTCGTGATGTGACTCCAGCATTGCCAGAGGTAACGTTCTTTGTTGGATTTCTTTTTTGCTAATACACAAAAAAGAGTCGCCCAGTGAGAGTAATACAATTAGATCAAGACTGGTGAAAGAGGATATCGCTTACATCAAGGCGTTTGATCGCTGTCATTTTAAATTGATCACGAAAAAAATTTTCCTTGTTGAAATGTGTAACGAATCCACGGTTTCCGTAATTGATTGTCCTGTGAAATGACTGAAAGTTTTTCACGAAAACATTGCGTGTGATGGAAACACGTTTGCGTTGGTAAATTTTGGCAAAATTCAGTTTTCCAGTTTGTCTGTTTTGAGGAAAACAGTAATTTGTCATTGACTATCATATTGGGAATGGTGATTATCATCAAAACGATTCAAAGGCGCGCGAAATTCCCTTTCGTCACTATAAAAGAGCGAAAAGATAGCCTTAGGAAGCCTGTTGTCTTGACTTTTTCTCCAAAATCTTTGGCCCAGAAAAAAAAGGTAAAGAAAAGCGTTGACAGCATTTTAGGTGTAACATTAAAAACCCCGCGTGTTTTTAACAACAAAAACATTATTTTTGCAAAAAGAAAACACGAATTTCGAAAATCTGAAGCATGTGTCACCTTTGAGCTAGACAGTGATCATGACCTCGTTTGTTCAACGCAGATTGATAAAATCTTTTCGTGTCAGGGCTTAACAATTAATGAGAAAGACCAAAGAGGGTTCAATAAACAATCTTGTTTTTGTTCAATTAACAATCTTGTTTTTGGAAACATTTTTCCTCCTTTCGCAAAGAACAGAACGAAAGCCCCGTGGCACACCGGAATATAAACAAGGGCGATAAAATTTTAAGCTTGGTTCCAGACGGTTAAGAATCTAACAAAACTAATAAGGCAAACTGGATGATAAGTTATGATAGAATCGGCGGGGAATTTTCACCTTCCCGTGTATGTTTTACGACACTTACTTCACATGGTCGTGTGCAAGGCCATCGGTTCACGATAAGTAAGATCACGTACATCTCTCTCCTGTCACGCACTGTCCCGCGCATGCACGAATCCACAAAATTTGCCCTCAAAGGTCAACAAAGAAGGCAGTGGGGAGATGTGCAAAACAGTTTTTCTAAAATAAACCGTGATTTCCTGCATTCACTATAAACAGAGAACGACTCATCGTAAACGGCGTTTAAATCTTTGTTTTGATAATGTCATCCATACAACAAACAGTTAGCCAGTTATCTTGGTTATTTTAAAAACGTATTTATTTTTCTTTTACACTGAAGCCGAGCCCATCTGATATGGTGGTGCTTGAGTCCAGACTATGTGAGTGAAAAAGGCCATTGTCAGTGTAATTTATGTAGATAACCGCGCGCCGTTTTAGGGGAAAGACTTTCTGGATAAGAGCGGCAAAATCAAAAGCTTGCGGCAGATTTTCTGCGCCGTTTTTAAAGGGCGCGCACGTTCTTGGGTAAGATGGTGTGAATGTGACGTAACATACAGGCTTACCTTTTAAACCACAGGTTGCGAGTCCGTTGCTAAGGCTGGTTCTTTCAGTTGGATGACGAAATATGATATGGAATTTCCTGAATTGTGTACTTGCATTAGTGTCCTGCTCTTTGGTAGGCTCTATAAAATAACGCTCGCCGCTTGTGACAAAGGAACCTCGCTATAAAACACAGGTAAAAAATTATGCAAACGTCAGACGAGAGAGCAATAAAATAAAGCTGCAGTTGCCTCTCTTGTGCGCACAGCGTAACCAACTTTTTCACCGGTGGCCCAGGTTGGAAAGGTGTTTGCCACTATTGGCATCAAATAGGAAGTAACTACTCAGAATTTATAAGCTAATTAAATGATTTGCCACCAGCAGTAGCCAAACATGAAGGGAAACTTTGACGCTGCTTTGACAAGTTTATGAGGAGTCTGAAGTGAGATTCCGCGTGGTGCCTGAGTCGTGAGGAATCTTTCGTATTGATTACCAGGGGGTCATTTGCCCTATCCGATCGCTTCCAGTAAAATTTATACCCCGTTGGTTGCAATGTTCAGGTTACGTTACTTGAGTAAATAATTACAATCTTATGGCGCCTGATAATGATTATTTTACCAATTGTTTTCATCAAAACAACGAGACCACGTGAAATTGGAGAAAATAGAATTGAAATGACATCGCGGCAATAATAAGCAAAATAAATCGTTGAATGATGTATACCGCGTGCAAGCAACATAACTTGTACCGTGCAGTTTCAGAACCAAGAGAACAATAATTAATTTATAAAACATAGAAGTATGTTAACTTACCAGCCCATTGCACAAATTTAACACGGCGGTAGAATTGAGATCTCCTTGTAAATCTCCACGATAAAAGCAATGCCGCAAATTCCCAGCAAAAGACAGTCTGCGCGTACGGTCGTAGACGTGTTCCACGTTGAGCAAAGGTGACAAATGACTATTATCCCTGTCAAGGCGAAATAGAAAGGTGCGCCCAAAAGCCACCAGCCTATAAAACACGGTCCCTGTCCTAACACCACTGTGCTCATATTTTATAAAATGTTTATGAGGAGAAAGACGTCTTCCATTGCGACGCACTCGTTCCACTACCGTTATCTCAAATTCAAAGCGCCCATTGTTGTTGGAGAAACCACTGGGATAGCGCGCTCGACCTGAAGAGGAAAACCGGACAAATATAATTCTATCAAATCTGGGTTTAACGTTTACCTGTAGCATGATAATCTGGAGCAAGATTTGACTAACCTTTACTAGGCTTCGTGTCCGTCACTGCGCAAACTTGATGGTTGAAAGCAATTATAAATAAAGCACAATACAGTCTCTTCATTGTAAACGTTTTCCAGCGTGTTTGGATGTCAGTAGAGTTCCCAGGATTTACACTGAGCGTTATAAGACGAGAAATAAAGGAACGCCCACAGTGTCCACTAAAACAGCCAATCAGAGTCCAGCTTGTCTTGAACGACGGCAAATGTGTTGACACAAATTACCTGGTGATACAAAGAAAGAGCTTGAATAAAAAATGTGCAAGCTGCTTGGCTTTGCAATATATAGCTGATTCCATAAAGGGGTGCTTTAGGAGTTGGTAATTGGGCATTACTCATTTGGGCATACAGAACTCTCTGCAACGATTTCCTTCAATGACCACCAAATATCAGCTTCCCAGTGCGCAATTCCCAGAACCCAAAGCAACTTGAATCATCTATATACCATTGCATTCAGAAAGTATTAGTGAGTGTCTTCTTCGCTATTCCGTTGTAACGCTTTCGAGCGCTTTTTCTCTTCATAACTACGGTTAGCCAAAGGTGTTCTAATTACTGTCAGGCAATCCATTAAGTACAGTCTATGAAGGGAATTAATTTAGTTCATATAACGGCTTAATTCACTGCACAAAGCTGAGTTCAATCTTGTTAAACTTGTTTTGTGTAATACATGGCCTTGCAATGATAAAACAAGTTAATGATGTCATTGCAATCGACTGGGGGTGACCTCTGTCGCTCACGCGCGGAAAACTCAGCCATAAAAAACAATGGTTGATGATTTTCTAACATAATGAAAACAAATCAACCTCTCAGTCTTGAAAGCAAGCATTAGCCTGAGTCGCCGTCGTAAAGTACAGTATCTGTTGGCAGGTATGGTGTTCAATCCCCGCCAAAAATCAACTTGAGTCCTAGCCTGCGTAGCAGGCGTCGAAAGGGGTAGGGGGTAGGGGATAGGGAGGAAGGGAAAAAGGGGAGGGGGATTGGGGAGAGGGGGAGGGGGCTTCCTTCCCTTTTCCCTTTCTCCCTCCCCCCTCCCCCTCCCCTTTTTGCTCCTGCCACGCAGGCTACTTGAGTCCTCAACATTCAACTTGAGCGGCTGACATTGAGTTATAGCACTCAACTTTCAACTTCACGTTTCAACATTCAAAGTTAATAATTCAACTTAAACTCCCAAAAATCAACTTGAGTCCCCAACATTCAACTTTAGCGGCTAACATAAAGTTATAGCACCCAACTTTCAACTTCACGTTTCAACATCAGTAAAGTTGATAATTGCCATCACGGATTAAACTTCATCGTTGCGAAATCTTGACCTCGTTGTACGGACAGCGTAAAATGTCCGCCAAAATGTATCATATGTCAAAGGCTGGCGTAACAGGCAATTCAAGCAAAATAGCGTAACGCTTGTTGGTTCTAAAACCTGTGCTTCTAGTTGACACAACATTAATTCATTCCCTGTTTGCACGCGAAGACAAATCGTCGAATGGATTCGTCCAAGTAAGTGAATAAACCACAATAGATACTCCTCAATGTCGCTTTAACAATTCATGGACCGTTTTTTTTTTTTTTTTACAGCTATAAAGGCTCTTTGGCTTATTCGCTTTTCGCTGAACGAAATCCCTCAGGCTGCTATAGCTCTTTCACTGACTCCTGTCGATCGCATCTTCCCTTTATCAAGTAATATCGGGCACAAATGTGCACAATTCGTCCAAATATACAACAATAATCCACGCTCAATTATTTCAATGTCCTTCTAATAATTCCAAGTTCATTTCTTGCAGATGATATTGTCAGCGTTTTTTAGAATATCTCCATAAAACGAACCCGATCTCTATGATGTGTCGGGAAAAATGTACGCTTTACCAGTACCCTCTAGAATACGCCAGACATGCGTAAAAGGCACTTGGAACAAAAGTAATACTAAGTAAGGGAGGTAAGATTAAAGTGTTTAATCTAACTTTAATGAATAAATTAATGAGAATCGAGTAAGTGAGTGAGTGAGTGTTCGAGTGCCATTTGAGTGCCTCTAAAAGCCCATGGCATGACTACGTCATCCAGGAGCTAAAAATCGCCAGCGTTAGATCGCCGGACAAAGAAGCCAGAAAGATTCACAGAAAGAAATTGGGGGCGTCGAAACCGGGAGCACAGTGAGTACAAAAATACAGACATTGCGTAATAATAAGAAATTGGCGAAGACCAGATTGACCAAAGCTAAAAATCACCTTAAGGTCACACTCGAGAATCAACCACCAGGTACAGAATTACCTAAAAAGAACACCATACGAAGAGGTATAAACAAAGTGAAGTCGGAATCATGTGTTATCGAAAAAATTATCAGTAGTCTAAAGGAGATTTATGCCACGAGCGGAGAACTAGAAGGAACTGACACAATTATTGAGGCGTTAGACAAGGGTCTCGATGAGATTATGGTTTCAGTAGATTCTGTTATTGAGACAGCAGAACAAACGGTACAGGCGAGACTAGCAAACAGAGAGGATGAGTCTTTTTTGCTTTCCTCATGAAAAGATGATGACCAGTCTTCAGTGTTGTCCATTTCATCTTCATATGTTAAGCAAAAGCAGCAAGAAGCAAAGGAAGCCTCTTAACGGTTACTGGAAGTGGAGAAAGAACAAAAAGATAAAGAAAACGAATTAGAAAAGCTGATTGCGGAGCTTGAGCTAACTAAACAACGAACCGAAGAAGCAAGAAAATTGGCAGAATTAAGTCAGTCCAGAGCTGAAGCACCAGAGAAATAATTAACAGAGCGGTTACCTACGAAGAAGCATATATACATAACTCGATTTTTTATACCATAAACTTTAAACTGACACCGTAAAATCCACAATGTCCACAATGTAACCTCCTTCAGCCTAAACTGAAAAAGCAAAATCAGCAATGGCATTTCTCAACTATAGCTGCCGTCTAAAGATCCATCATGTGTTTTAAAGTAGAAAAGATTGCTATTTAAGGTAATTCAAACTCTAGCAATCTCTCATTTTTGCAATTTAAAAATATCTTGACCCAACTAAATTAGCCTCATATGAAACCTATTTAGAAGACGTTTACACAAAATAAGTATCGCATATGAAAACCTGACTTCCTAGTAACATCTTACATGGCATCGCGCAGTTTTTTCTTAAAAGTTAGATCGCCACAATTTTCCGTTAGCTCTCCTTGTTTTCTCCATTTTCCCATGAAAGCTTTCAAAACAGACACCAGGGTCTTAGGTTTTGAAAGTTTTTAGACTAAATCTTTCGCTCCGCGAATTCATTCTCTTCGTAACCGGAAATTGCTTTAACCGAAATCATGTCAAGTTTTCAAAACTCTGAAGGAATCTTATTGGAAATCCCCTTTTCAGAAATATCTAGCTGCTTTTATTTTAACCAGTAAAAAAACCCCAAAACATTCCGGTATGGCGCGCAATACTGTTTATCTCCTTGCATGAAAAGAAAACAATGAGGCGATTGTTAGTTGAGTTTGAAATTTCGCGCGAAATTTTAAAAGGATGTCAGACGACCGGAAAATCAGTCCGCGAATTACACTCTTATCACTTTACAGCTAAAAGCTCGTTGTTCGTTTAGCAGTTTTAAATGTGTTGAAGCCACTTATGACCTGAGCTAAGGAGACTGCGATTTTCTTTTTTACCCAAAACGAACCATTTTCGAAATTTGGCTTTTAACAAGCGGCTTGTTTTAACAGCGGTATAGCAACAAAATTTCTTTGTAAAATCGCCGCAGGTTTTGTGGCTTAAGAGTGACAAAAAAACGCCGATTAAAGAAAATTGTCAATTCTTCACCCAAGATGAAAATCTCATTAAATCTTGCCGCTTTAGTTGAAGAATTTTGTTGTTTTTAGTTGGACAGACTAGCCGCAAAAACCGGTGCGTTTACTACGAAAACGACTACTGTCCTATCAGCATAATTTTGATGAGAGAACGAGGAGGGCGGTCTGATTTTAAATGTTTCCTTTTTGAGTTCCTTTTGTTAAGAGCAACGTGACAACGATCTTGTTGAAGTTCTAAAAAAATAAACGCTAAGAACAACCAGTCTTTTTCTATTCCGCTTTGTCGGATGACTTGAGTTGAATTAATAATTTGTTTTGAAATGAAAGGCGGTGTTTGCGGTTGTACTACTTACACTAGGCCACAAAACAGAATGAGCTCCTCTTGTTTATCCCATAAACACCATGAAAAATAAGACATCTTCTTACTTTCTTCTACTCTAGAACACATTTCCCTCTATAACACGTCAAGAAAGCATTCTCCTTTTTCGGCTTCCGATCCTTCGGTACTGATTCTTCGGAAATTCCATTTCTTATGATGTAGGTGTGAGAATTTAGATCGTGATCAATAAAAGCGCTGATAGAATCAAGGGTATTTTTTGCAAACGATAGTTGTCGTGAAATACTATAATCTGTCATCACCCTCGACGAATGATTGGTATATGTTTTCGTTTCGAATACCACAAGCATCACCCAATCTATTTTTGAAATTCTTCAAACTGAACTCAAACAAAATTTAAAGACCATGACGTTTTTTCGGTTTTCGGAAGCTTCACAAAAAAAGAACAGAACATTCCAGTCCTTAAATGTACCACTAACCATCAGTCTAAAATGCCGTAACCATAACATATTCATAAAACGTACCCTAGATCTAAGTTTTTGCAACGACATCACTAAGCATGTCAGAACTTGGCTAAAACTTGTTAGTGCTATTGTTCAGTAGCGTATTCCTTTTAACCGTTTTCGAATCTCAAAGCTGAATCTAAGATAAAATTATAGTCTATCTGTAGGTATCGTACCTTTCACGTTTCCTTATCAGCTAAAGCCGAGCAGTTGCAATCAAGATTCCAGTTAGTTTAAAACTCCTTTCTGTACTCGCACGTTTGAGTTGTTTCTCAACGCCGGCAACAAGCTGGTTTTTGAAAGTATTTCAGCATCAACACGCTCTGTTGACTTGGATCGTCTAGGCGAAATAAACTTGGCTGTCGTCTGTCAAGCTGTATAGCTATGATACATAGGATGTTCCGGCCAAGCACGTGACGTAAAATAAGAACAAACACAGCCCCACAAAGTAAAGCAAGCATAAGGTAAACCGATATGACTCCTTCACTATTTGCGGATAATTTGCTTTAATAAGTTAACTCCAAAAATTCCAAAAAACCTTTTAAAAAACTATTTTGCGGTTGATGTAATT